AAAAAAACAGGACCTATAGACGTGTGCTAGCTACAAGAGTAAACTACTCGGAAAAAATTTGTTGCTCGCCCAATTCCGGTCTTAATATGTTCTCTGATTTTGTTACTCCTAAGATATCCCAGTTTCAAATTTGTTGTTCGCGGTATATGTTTAAACAGTAGCCGAGAACCTATAGGTGTGTGCTGGGAATTGGGAATTGGGCAAGCAACAAATTTTTCTCGAGTAGTTTGCTCTTGTAACCAGCACACACCTATATAGGTTTTCGGATATTGTTTAAACATATACCGCGAGCAACAAATTTGAAACTGGGATATCTTAAGAGCAACAAAATCAGGCAACATACTGAGACCGAAATTGGGCGAGCAACAAATTTTCTTCGAGTAGTTTACTCTTGTAGCCAGCACACACCTATAGGTTCTCGGCTATTGTTTAAACATATACCGCGAGCAACAAATTTGAAACTGGGATATCTTAAGAGCAACAAAATCTGGCAGCATACTGAGACCGAAATTGGGCGAGCAACAAAATTTTTCCGAGTAATTTACTCTTGTAGCTAGCACACGTCTATAGGTCCCCGGCACTATTTTTGTCGAAATGGCTGGAGCAACGAAATCGGGAATAGAGCAACAAATTAGCAACAAAATCGTAGTTTAAAAACATGTGTTCGTTTTTCGTCTTTTATTTTTTTTCCGAGGGGCTGTGCTAACTTTAATGTTAAGCTAGCACAGCCCCTGTTTTTTTTCGAAATGTCTGGAGCAACAAAATCGGGAATAGAGCAATAAATTAGCAACAAAATCGTAGTTTAAACATATGTGTTCGTTTTTCATTTTTTTTTCGAGGGGCTGTGCTAACTTTAATATTAAGCTAACACAGCCCCAGTTTTCTTCGAAATGGCTGGAGCAACAAAATCGGGAATAGAGCAACAAATTAGCAACAAAAGAGCACTAAATTTCTGTGCTAGTCCCATGCGATTGTGCTGAAAGGGCTGTGCCAGCTTAATAGACGTAATTCTCGCATCTGTCTACGATGACAGCTTGCCGGAAACTCTCCGTCAGCTGTTGTTGTTTTCTTCTCATCGATTTTCCGTCGTCCAGACAATCTTCGTTCAGTTGTCAAAATCAATATCAGATGCCTAAGGCTCACGGACAACGGACGCTGCCACAAACCTTGTGGCTCGGACACAACACTATATTAATAAACATATTAATAAAAAATAGTCTTAAAAATGATGAAAATTTTTGCGTACCCCTAATACATAATCAACACGCCGTTAAGAGAAGCGAAGAACAAACATTTTATGCGAGTAAAATATCGAGATAAACAAATAATCCATAATACTTAGGCAAGCTCTTCTTTCTCTTTCTTTCTTTATGCTCGTGTTATAGATTCCTTCATTGATCCATTAAAGTCGACGGAATGCGCACTATTAACGGCACTGCTAAGATATCGCGACTGGGGCATAAAAGCGGAAAGACGAATCCGTCTCCTCGTCATGATCGACTGACTTTGTCAATCGAGCGGAACTAGGCGCCGCGCGATACTTTCTTATCAACCCGCACAGACACAATCGTAATTTCACATAAATTTCAGCCAGACAAACGCTATCGCGTGTGCCTTATCATTTTTAAGACGCGTGTCGAGAGTTGAGAGATTGCGGCTCGCGACGACGATCGATTCGCACGAGAATGAACCGCGGAGACGGCGCAGAATGAGATTAGACTCGTTCGGACGGAAAGTTCAAGCGTCTCCGGGACGAGGTCATTAATCGGCCGATAACTCGCAACAGTCGGAGTTATCCCCTATCGTTTCTCGCCGAGGGATAACGCCGGACGTCTAATAAAAATGACGGACGGTCACGTTAGAGAGCGACGCAATAATCGGTGACGCAGCTCGCTGACAATTTGCTATCCCGACGACGCAATTAAACGCGGAATAGAGTTATCGAGCCGATAAATAAAGACGATAGTTGGCCAGACTCGCTGATGAGAACCTTCGCTTTCACATCTGCGGGTATACGGTTAATAACGCGGAACGAGCAATTAATTTCACGTGTAATTGATGTGGGTAGTCGATCTGTCTGTCAGCGCGAGTGCTCTCGATCGATATTGCGCTTTACTTTATTACAGGAATTTGTGACAATTTATCCTCCTTTCGTCGATGTTGTTTCTTCATAGGATAGAATTGTGTAAAGCTCAGCTTTTCAACATTGTTTTCCCACGTACACGCGTGAATTGATATTGATGTATGTATGTGTGCGTGCGCCTTAGAATGTCTAAATGTAAAACAAATAATACCAAGGGAAATGCGAAGTTGAGCGAACGATACGCAAATCAAGAAAATGCCATGCCGAGGCAATAAATTCTACTGAATTCATCGTGTAATTGCGCTCTTAATCTCCATTTGCAATCTCGGAAAATGCAATTGTGGTCGACTCCAGCGTTTTGTTCCCTCAGAACAACCCCGGTGAAAGAAATATTACAAGAGAAAGACAATAGACCTTTAATACTCGCGGATTTTCTCGGACGGAATCTGCGAGTTTAGACGAGATAAAAAGAGGCGCTCGGCAAGCACGTGCCAATTTAAACATTACGCAGTGTAATGTGACATAAACATACATAAAACGGTTCAAACTACGTTGTATGTTTAAGTTGTCTACATGCTTTGCGTCCGCCTTCGCCATTGTCTTCCTAATGTATCTTCTCAGAAAAGAATTCCAATCCAACTCTGCACATCGCGCAATAAAAAGACGAGCGTTCAATCCTCCGCAACTAATTTGCATCTTGAGACGAGAATAAATTTTTCATTTCAGCATTTAGTCACTGTCAGCCAGAGCTCGCGTTCGAAGATTTCGCGACACGTTTTATGATACGACTAATTTCCCACCTCGCGACATCAATCGATCGTTTTCGTTGCTCGCGAGAGGTATTTTCCCCTCGCAACTATAAATCTGTAGCGTCGCATCGACGATGAATTCGGATGCCACGCTTACGGTGAATTGAAATGGACGCTTCCGTGCGCGCCAAGCGTAACGGGCGAGAGAGCACTTTGCATTATTAATATTAGCCGGCCTCGCACCCCTGAAAGTGTGCGCGGAGGGCTCGACCAGTGAAACTCCATCGCGCTTTTACGGCGATATTATCGTTTGCTTTTTCAGACGCGGACGCCGCAATCTCGACGGGAAACTTTACGAGCAACTGGACAAATGTATTTCTCCCCGAGAGCAGCTACGAGATGAAATGTCCGGGGCGAGACGAGTCATTAGACGGAGCTCGTATTAAGAATAGTCGAGGGGTCAGGTACGCGCGAGTCTAAAGTCTACGATAAATTATAGATGCGCAAGTAAAGTTGTTGAAATTTTTTCTTGGTATCATAACGTGTGGATTGTCCTCCGATGAGAACCGCCGAGGCTACGGGAGTTAACAATTCGGAATTCCGAAAGACAAACAAAGAAACAATCGATTGTCTTAACCCTTTGAGGCACAGTGGTAAGTATACTTACCACCTATTTATTCTCACATTTTCATGAAATATTTCATATTTGAGGGATTCTTGTTGAGGGTTGTTTTGCGTTTTTTAGCTTCTTATACGATATGGGAACATACATTGAAAAGTGTTGAAAAGTGTTTTGCATAAGTTGTCCATTTATTATAAATAAACAAAGTGTGAAAAATACACAATTTTACAGAAAAAAATCATTTTCCACGAACTATGAGTGAATTTTTTGCTCAAAATCAATATTTGGGGGTTTTTTAAGTCGCTGATTACGAATCTGAAGTCCAAATACCAAAATTAATTTTCCAAGATGGCGGAATCAAGATGGCGGATCATAGAATTTTTATTAAATTAGCTAAAATTGTACCCTAGTTAGTTTTTGAGGTCGCTCATTACGAATCTGAGGTCCACATTCTAAAATTCATTTTCCATGATGGCGGATTCCAGATGGCGGATCATAGAATGTACATAAAATTAGCTAAAATTGTACTCTGGTTAGTTTTTGAGCTCATTGATTACGAATCTGAGGTCCAAATTCTAACATTTATTTTCCATGATGGCGGATCATAAAATTTTTGTATGATTAGCTGAAATTGTACTTTGGTTGGCTTTCAAGGTCGCGGATTACGAATCCGAGGTCCAAAACTCATTGTCACCGGAAATATCGCGACTTTTCATTTTTGCGTCCGCTATCTTGAATCCACCATCTTGAATTTCGAATATCTGATAACGAATTCGTCATCAGCGAAACCCAGAAACCCCCGTGTATCAATTTTCATGTGATTCGGATTTTCTGAAAAATATGTATCTCAAAGGATTAAGGGCGAAATGACATGCGGAAAGCCGTTTCCAAGGCTATTTTTACGAATTTTTTTAACAGAAACGGTAAGATGAATGAACTTGATTTTTCACAGTGTATTCATTAATGTTCAAAGTATAAAATAAATTTTATTGAATCATAAGAGCCGATCCAATTTGTAATTATAGATAAAAATGCAGTCATCCGTTTGCGAGCTCTATGTTCGCTGTCGACATAATCCTGGGCCTCTCACTACTCTGAAACCAAAAAATGAAAGATTTTCAAAATGTACGGTTGCCATTACAGCTCGTACCAAAATGAAGACAATGAAGCCAAGTTTGGAAAAATAATGACTGTACAAAAAGAAGTATCGAAAATGAAACTTTTTTCAACTTGTAATCATGTTTAAGAAAATGAATAAAATAAAATATAACTATGTTCGAGGTAGGGGTTCGAGGTAAAACTACATGTCTACTGTATATTGTGTAAAAATTTCAAGTATTCGGTTCAGTAATTTCTGCGTAATCGTGTTTAAGAAAATGGTGTTTCCAGATAAACGCGTTTAAAATTTTATGTGTACTTTCCATATAGACAGTAACAAATTTATTTCATACTTTGAACATTAATGAATACACCGTGGACATTTCAAATCTATTGATCCTACCGTTTCTGTTAAAAAAATTCGTAAAACTAGCCTTAAAAACTAGCCTGCTCCGCATGTAATTCTCCCCTTAACGACAAAATTGAGTCGCGTGACTTTAGCAGTTTTCAATTTCAATCTGCCGTCGGGCAACTGCCCCCCTGTGTTTCGCTCTTTTAAATCAAATCGAAAAATTTAATGTGTGAAAATTCTCCCGAGGAGCGAGATCAATAAACTCTGGAGAGGACCTCTGGGACCAACCGACTCTGACTTATCGTCTCGATGTAAATATTATTGAGCGAAACGTCCGTATCAAAAATACTTCGACGCGACGCGGCTCAAGCTGGGCATTACATTCTACACGCAGTGTTGTCGAGATACGTCTTCCAGACGTCTCGCGCTCGTTTGCAAGACGTCAGTATCCCTCTGATGGTCTAAGCCGGCAGCATCCGGGCCTTCACGATGTCGAGTAATCTCTGCGGTAAGTATAACGATTCCTTCGTCGATTTCTACATAGGCGCGTTTACGCGCACAAAATACAGCGAGCAAGTGCGAGTTATAGCAGCGAGTAACACGTCAACTCACACATCCATGTCTCTGATATTCGTGCGACTGAAACAAGGAAAACTGGCGGGGGTGCTTAAAGAAGGCGTATGCGGTATCAAGTATAAGGCTTTCCTGGGCGTTCCTTACGCGACACCACCGATTGGCAACCTGCGGTTCCAGGTAGCTCACCCGCTGCTGAAAGCAAGCAGCATGCGACATACATCACACCTCACGTACAGGGAGCACATTCCTCTAAATTTGAAAATTAACCGATCAAACTTAAAAGTTAACCAGTCAAGTTATCAGTAGCTAACACGTTGTCTCGCCGGCATCAGGACCCCAAACCAGTCGCGAACTGGGAGGGCGTACGAACCGCTACGGACGACTTTTGCAACATGAGCGCGCAGATCAATCAGTCCTCGGACAGGAATATCATCGGCAACGAGGACTGCCTATATCTCAACATCTACGTACCGTGCGAGTGGCCATCGGGCCTCTCATGCATACCGGTTATGGTTTGGATTCACGACGGAGATTTCTTCACCGGGAATAGCGAGTACTCCGAGATACGGCCCGATTACTTGATGAAGAAGAATGTCATTTTGGTCACAGTTACCTATAGACTGGGGGTTCTCGGTAAGGGAAAAATCACTCAATCGAGTTGCGTGATAACGCGCATACTATACCATTCGTCGTTTTCAAGGTTTCTTAAATCTCAGCATCAATGGTGCCTATGGGAACCAAGGGCTAAAGGACCAGGTCGCCGCATTACGATGGATCCAGGAGAACATCTTCTATTTCGGGGGAGACCCGGGCAACATCACGGTCTTCGGCAACGGCACGGGCGCGGTGTCTGCGCATTTGTTAATGTTGTCGCCGTTATCCCGAGGTACAAAACAACAAGGCGCAGCTCGCGACAGTGATAACGAGCGAATTGGCAATTTCGCGCGACATTAATAAATACGGTACTTATCCTCGCGGTCTCCAGGTTTCTTTCAGAAAGCTATTCTTCAGAGCGGCGTCGCTCTGTGTAATTGGGCGGTGAAGAAGCAGCAGAAGGAAGGTTTCACACTCGCCTCTGAAATGGGCTGCCTTTCCACCGATCCCAAAAGTATACTCGATTTTCTTAAGAGAATTCCGTATCGCGTGCTCGTGATGGCGGAATATAATATCATTAAAAAGAAGGTGAGCCTGTTCTTTCCTTGGTCGTACTTGGTCTTATTGTTCAGTAACGCATTCGATCCATTTTTTAAATGGCAAACGTGACCAAAATAATACGACCGAGCGGAGAGTGAAGAAACGATTTTTGCAGGACCGGTTTATAAAAAAGGTCATATTTGGGCCTACGATCGACAAGGAATCGTCGAATCCTTTTCTCCCGTGTCCCGTTCGTGAACTGCTCAACAACGGTAATGATATACCAATCCTGATTGGTCATAATACTCAAGAGTTCTTTGGGTCTTTCTCGAAAATCACAGGTATCGCAGAAATCGAAGACTATGTGATCTATCTCGAATCTCTAATCCCTTTAATCCTCTAATATTACACCCAAAAAAAGTAATTTCAGAACAAGCGGAATCATCTAAATTTTAGAAAATTTTATTCTTATGGCCTCACGAGGATTCCTCTAAGATTAACAGGAAAATATTATAAACACATTATTCTTAAAGTTAGAGGGGGATTATGTGTTATATATATGATGCAAATCTTATTGATTTTAATATAAATTCCCTCTTATACAGAGATTATTTAACTTTTTTTTAAGAGGACTATTATTTATTCTTACTGTATTTTATTCTTACTGGTTATACTAGTTAATTTGAAAACATGAAATAAGATCATCATAACAAATAAATTTCCAATCCGTTTTGTTATAGACTTCATAGCTGCAAAAACATTCATCATAACCAATTGTATGAAACATAGTTAAAAGAAAGAATATATTATTCAACTTCTTGCAATAGATGCAAAACTATATTTGACCAAATATGGGTAGATTATCTTCGTTATATGTTACAGCACATACCTTTTTTACGAAAATGTTCCAAATATTATGACCCATGAACATATGGCTATTTTTTCGTTCATGTTTGGAGACAGAGCATGACTGAACAAAAGAAGCCGACATTCAAATTAACATATTCCTCTTCATGTAAAAGGGAAATTAATTGATATAAGAGGAAATCTTGAAATATAAGAGACAAACAGTTAGAATAATATCTAATCAATTTTAGATGAATGGTTCACTTTAATCGCTTTATGGAAAGAGGAATCTTTTTTCTGTAAAAAGCTTCGCTTAGAATATGAGACTATGGGAGAAATCACTTTACAAATAGAATACTTTCTTTTGGGTGTTATTTCTCCTTTATTGCGCGCTGCCCTTTACATTGTGTCGAATGTATTAGCAATATGCCTGCATTTATCTGCTGATAGACGACGAAATACTGCAATACAAGAAACTCAGCATTTACGTGGAGCAGTTCGCGGGTCCGCACAACTTGGACAAAGTACCAGAATATACGAAGCAGATTGAACAGTTTTACGAGTACGACGCGCCTTTTCATACGTGGCATTATGATCTTAAAATACGCTGCTTGAGCGACCTGTACTACAATCTCCCTATTAGAAGCGTCATGATAAATCGAGTGAAACAGAAAAGTGCCAAGACTTATTATTATGTATTTTCTTACAATGGCGACGAAGGGAAATCAATGAAGGTTTCTAGATCATCTGGTAATTTTATATTTTGCGAAACGCGTAACGACTAGCGGCTCAAGTTGAGATTCGGTGGTTTCACGTCTTTCAACTCTGTGCTTTTTCTTTTTATTTTCGCGTGACGACAGTCAAACAAACAGGAACTTCCCACGGTGACGAATTAGTATATATATTCTACACACCTCATTCTAAAGATAATAAAATTACGCTGCAAACGATGTGGTCGGATTACGATATGATAAATATGATTACGAGCATTTGGAGCAATTTTGCAAAGAATAGGTAAGCATGAATTGTTGGAAGTTTAGAATCGCGCTGGAAAATTTTTAGAGTACAGCAACAATGTCATTTGGTTTGCAGCGATCCCAATTTTAATTTCAAGAGTGCGTATTCTGAATGGCAGCCCATCGAAACGGAAAATGACTTAACGTGTTTCGAAATTAACAGGTCTTCTACTAAATGGCTTATCGAGAAGAAACATTTGGTACTATCGGACAACTGGTATTAAATATTGTACGTTATTATAAGTATTATATGTCAAACATAAGATTAAAAAGCTTGCTTTGGAATGGAATTTTGTTAATTTGCAATGTATGCGTCTAATGTACGCCACGCAGTGTAATTATTTTTAAAGACTTCGATATAGCAGCGCTTGAAAAACAACATTGGACAATAAATTTTCCATCAATTACTATATCTACAATGTCATACATGAATCTTGCATAATAAATCATAATAAATTTCTTATCCCATAACTTGTATATTTATTCCTCGACTGCCCATTTTGCTATCGACTGTCTTCATATAATTTTATCAATTTTCGTTGTTGATCTTCTCTGCATCGATTTTAGCAAGATTGGCCGTTAGTATGACTCCGATTCGTACATATAGCGGACACGCCGAGTGCTTAGCTTTGTAAATAATATAAATAAAGAAACGTGTTGTGCTGGATATCTGCGCACTAATGTGCGCCGGGGCGCGTCCTCAGTAATCTCTGTCAATAAACAGGCAGCTCAGGATTCTGATATAAAAATTGTGAAACGGTAATCGAGCAATTACCTACATATACTTATGTAATATTATAAACAAATCATAAGTAATACATGTATACACACATATATAAATTGCGATAAAACTTTTAGGATATTCCAAAATTATTCGCAATTTTACGAGAAATCTTTCGTAGTTACGGCTTCCCTGTTATCTGTTAAATTAGACGTAACATAATAATAAACAAGCACGAGCTATTCTACGTCTTATTCTTGTTATTGTCTTACTTTTCAGAAGTTTTATGTGCGTCTTGCCAAATTTGATGTAGTTCAGTTTGGCGCTATCGTTTGCGTCGTATCGTATGATATTCTGAACGATAAAAGTAAGAAGCAATTATTAGTTTTCAATTTAGCTGTGTCTAAGAGAATGGAATCCTTACAGTGTCAAGACACTTCTTTAGTTACTTTAGAAGTACAGAAACTAATAGTGAGGGTGGAACAAGGTAGTCTGTTAGGAATTAACAAAATTACTTCTGATAATGTTGGCTACACAGCTTTTCAAGGAATACCGTACGCGACACCACCAATCGGCGAATTAAGATTTAGGGTAATGTAATCTCAATGCTGAGAAATATACAAAATGAGGCACTTAAAACAGCCTAAATAACTTTGAAAATATGAAAATATTCGAAACGCAAAATGCATCGCGTATCGAACATGCTTTTTGTTGGTATCCATCATGAACACTACAACTGTTTATTTGAAGTTATGTGCATCAAATGCCAAACGATATGTTATTTCGAAAAGTTAAATGTCAATATTTTAAAACCGCAAAAGAGCAGGAGAATATTTCAATTTCAAATTTTGCTCTGAACTATGTAAATTTCATCGAAAAGAAGGAACTAACTGCCAGACCTAATATTTGTCGGGAAAAAAGTGCTACTAGACTTCTTTACTTTATTTGCTCTCAAGAATACTGTTGCAATTTTTGTTAACTTGTCCAACTTTTGTTAACTTGATGATCTTGGAGAATTCCAAAATCATCAAGTTAAAAGTTGGGGCATTATTATATCAGCATATTCTTGAGATAAACAAAACAAATAGAATAAAAAAGTCTAATATCACTTTTTCTTTCGACAAATAGTTAGCGAGATATCGTAAGCTAAATATTGAAAGTTACCAAGTTTCCCTTAAATATCTCCAAAAATATTAGAAAATGTTTCAGGCAAAAGTTGTTCAAATTAATTGTTAGAAAAAGATGATGTAGTAAATAATGGAGGTTTCCGTTAAAAAAATTCAAAGTAACTTTGATGACGCTGTTCAAGATTATACTAGTGTTGCTATGTGATGCTTCAGAGTTATTCAGGTGGCCTGTTTTAGGTGCCTCACTCTGTATAAGTCCAACTAGATTAGAAAGCAAATCGAAAAATGCGGGTGCAAAGATTCTGACAATGTGATTACCGATAACAATAATTGTCTAACTGTCGTTTCGATTGTCAAATTAGGATCCTGAGCCTCCCCAACCCTGGAACGATATCCTAAACGCAGCTGAAGAAAGCTACAATAAATGCATACAGTTGCAACAAACGCACAGCAGTAATCTTTGTAAGACTGCATGCGGTAGAGAGGATTGCCTTTACCTTAATATTTACGTACCGCACAATTCGAAGCGAAAGATCGAAAGAAGACCGGTTATGGTTTGGATCCATGGGGACGATTTCATTTCGGGGTCATGCATGTTTCAGCGGTTGCAACCTGATTATTTTATGGATAAGGACGTCATTGTAGTTTGCATAACCTACAGGCTAGGTATCCTCGGTAAGGATTCTCATCAGATTTCATGTACATACGAGGTCAAAATGTGCGAGTTTCTTTGTTATCCCCTAAAAATTCTTATTCTAACGATTAAAAAAATGTCCTATGCCCTAAGATTCTTCCAGTGAAATCTCAGCCGAAAAGTCGACGCAAAGTTGAGAGTCACTCAAATTTAATTCGTTTTAAGATTTTCCGAGTAAACTTGAAATGGAAAGCGTTACTTTATGTGTCTCTGATTTTTAAGGTTTCTTAAATATCGGCCACGAGGAGGCCAGTGGGAATCAAGGATTAAAGGATCTGGTCGCAGCATTGAAATGGATCAATGTAAATATCGCCAATTTCACCGGAGATCCTAACAACATAACCATTTTCGGTCATGGCTCAGGCGCGATATGCGCGCATTTGTTAATGATATCGCCGATGTCGAAAGGCACGTTCTTGAAAGTAATAATGTCTGAATTGACAATAATCGCGTTCAAGAGGACGCGCGATATTGCTGTGTACCGCTACTTTCGCGTTTCCAGGTCTCTTTCATAAGGCTATTCTCCAAAGTGGCGTCGCTCTGTGTAATTGGGCGGTGCGAGAGAATCAACCGGAAGCTTTTCAGCTCGCGTCTTTAATGGGCTACAATTTCAAGGATCCCGTGAAAATTGTTACATTTTTCCGAGAATTATCCGATGATGAATTAGTCATAAAGACAGCTATGGTTACCAATGTAAAAGTGAGTCTCCCTTTCTCTCTATTTTGCTTTTGAATCTGTCCTTCGTCTAGCCCTTCTTATTCGTGTTAACACGGTCAGTGTCATGATTGTCACCGCTGACCGATGAGATGTGTCTTGTTCAATCACATGTAAAGTATAATCAAACGTATGTGAGAAAATCGATGTACGCAGCTAACAGACAGCCAGTGAAACAAAGTGAAAAAAATACAGGATGTCCGGGATCTTCTGGAAAAGAAAAATTGTGAAGATTAATCAGATCGAAGAGAAAATCTGAGAAGAAAGGTCATGTATCATTTTGCAAAAATTGCAACAGTTATCAATTATTGAAATTAAGTCATTAATGATTGAAAATGACTACATTTAGAGACTCTTTTAATTGATAACTTGAAAATTTGTGTACTTATTTGCCAAATGGTAAAGGACTTTTTTGCTCAGAATGACCTAATCTACAATTATATGACGGCTATCGTGTCTAGCGATAAACATGAGTATATTGAAATATGAACTCTGAATCTTGAACCCTTGGCTAGACGCAATAGCTGTTATATAATTGTAGATTAGGTCCTTCTGAACAAAAAGGTCCTGTTGACCATTTTGCAAATAAGTACGCAAATTTTCAAGTTCTCAATTAAAAGAGCTTCTATTATAGATGTAGTAATTTTCAATCATTAATAACTTAATAACTATTGTGATTTTTGCAAAAGGGTACTTGACCTTTCTTCTCAGTTTCATCTGATTAATCTTCACAATATTTCCTTTCCAAAAAATCCCGGACATCCTATATATCGTAACTTTGATAATTGAATGATCGGTTGAGCTTTTGCACGATGTCAGCGTCAATCAATACGGAGTTCGACGTGGTTAAAAAATCAAAAGGCACTTTGCAGGATTTCAAGATGGTGGTATTTGGACCTACAATCGATAGAGCGGCGAAAAATCCTTTCCTTCCCTGCCCCATTCGTGATTTGATTGACTACGACAATGACATACCGGTCCTTATTGGACATAATTCTCACGAATTCCTCCACTTCATGAAAAGAGGTATCGGCAGATCGATGATCAGCGGATTCGCGTTTGACGGAAACGAAAATGATAACTCATGCAGAATTTGTCTGTCGATAGATAAGAAACTATTAAATTTCTGGACGATACAAAAAAATTTTTCGCGCCATGTGACCGACCTTGTGGGCTCTAATAAATCGAAAATTGTGAAAAAAATGAATAAAAAGATTACTTCGTTTTTCTTCAACGAGCAGCCACTTTCGCGATGCAGCCCCCTTAGCGTTATAGACTGCATGAGTAGTATTTATTTTAATATTCCCATTCACACTTTTGTGGAGATTCGAAGGATGCGGAGAAATGCGACGACTTATTTTTACATATTTGCTTTCTCCGATAAAGTAACAGAACTCAAGCAATGGCCTGGAACCATTATAACTGGTAATTATGCAGTACTGGTAGCTCGTGAAATTTTCGACAAGCAAAATGGCTTCGGTTAAAATTTCAACCCAGGCCAATGGAATTAGCTGCGACTTTCGGACCTATTAATATTGTTTCCTGTTTCCTTTTCTATGTAATCGCTGTGTTTCAGGACCTTCCCATTCCGATGAAGTTAAATATTTATTTAACAATTTCAAAAATAAAAAATGCCCCAAAATGACTGATTCTTATCAAGTGATGCATTCTCTCACGACCATGTGGAGCAATTTTGCGAGGACGGGGTAAGTGGAAAATCTTGAGAGCGCACATTAAGATACAAGATTCATATAATCAAACAACAACTATAATCAAACACTTTACTCATAGAAATCCGAATATCGAGACTAAATTTATGAAGACCATCTGGCGGCCAGCTACAGAGGATAGCTTTCAGTTTATGGTTATTGATCATCTTCCTACCACCGAGTATAAAACCGGTACTTTCCAATTTTACCCGTTTCTGGAAGATTGGTATTGACGCATTCGTTTCGGCCGATTTTTACTTGAAGATCACACGTCTTGTTCTCCGAAGAAAAATTCTCGGATGTATCAAGTTACAGAAATTTTGACAAAGTACTCGAACTCTCGCACAGCATGTATTTAACGCATGTATTTTACGATTGTGTATCACGTGATGTAATGAATATTATTATATGAGAGCAAATATTTCAATGCGCGATCTTTGCGCACGCGCGCGCGCGCATACATTTCCCTCGTCCCTCTTCCTTTTTTCAAGTCATATATAGTGGTAGCAGAGTGACCGACTGCCCAGATCGTCGCGCAACTTTCATAATTATATAAAAAAAAGTATCCTTCAGAGCACTTTATAAAAATACACGTGGAAACAATATAAAATCTCGACAGTCAATTTCACCGGAAGAACATATAGCGCGAAGATACGACAAAGTGACAACCCGTTTCGTATTCTTTGATCCAATGAAAAGAGAAGACGAGACAGAAAGGGAGTGCGTGCGCTGGAAACAAGGGGAAGAAAGACAGATAACAAAAGAGTCAGAGTCGCCGGAAAGTTGGGCAAACTCTCCGGGACGGGCGGCAAGTGAAATGTTTGAGCTCGCGCTCGATCGAGGGTTCGGGAGAAGCGCGTTTCCTCGTTCTCTCGCTCTCTTCAATGATTCAGTCGGGCGAATCGAGATAAATACAGTTATATTCGGACAAAGAAGGGGCCGAGTCACTTTTGTCTCGTCGTGCGGGTAACCAGAGTTCAATTCCCGAGGGCAGTCTCTCGTATCGCCTCGGCGTCTTTCTGTCTCCCCTCCTCTCTCTTCTGCTTCCTCTTCTCGCTCTACTCTTCCTCGCGTCCCGCGTATTTACCGTATTTTCGCAGGCAACAGCGTCGAGAGAGAGAGAGATAGAGAGATAGAGAGAGAGAGAGAGAGAGAGAGAGAGAGAGAGAGAGAGAGAGAGAGCGAGCGAGAGAGAGAGAGAGAGAGAGAGAAGACGATCGCGTAAACCATCGGGAAAATGTTTGGGCGCGACGAAGACACTCGACCGGATAAATTCGTCGGGGAAAAGCTCCACGTTAATGCCGCACGATACAATCGTTTCCAAGCGCGACAAATATTTGTCTTATCTCGGCCTCCCGGGAGGCTTGCGTTGTCTCCCGCGGAAGAGTCGACGACGCGAAAACGATGTGGAAATTAGATTGGCCGAACGAGCGAGCGCGAGTTCATCGAGACTGCTGTCGCCGCTACTTCGCGAGTCGGCGATCGGCTCAGCAATTTTCGTTTCGCGCAGCGCAACCTTAAGTACCCCGGGATATTCTCAAAAGGGAACGCGACATTCGCATTTGCATAAATTTGCTCGCCAGCCAGCCAGACGAATTAATCGATCCGTGGCGGCGGGCAATCGCGCCGCTCCCCTCCTCCCCCGCCCCCTCTTCTCATTCGCTTCTTAAGTAGCAAAAAGCACATACCGCTCGCTCGCTATTTGTACAAGACGGGCAACTTCCGAGAGAATCGATACCACCACCCTTCCGTTCGAGTTAACGAAAGCGCGATGTACAGGCTGTTTCTCACAAGATGCTCGGGTAAACTCGAGGTTGCCGGATCGAAAACAAACAGGAATAAAGAGAGCTAACGTACGGTCCAAGTGGACCGATCGACATTGGAAACTTCATTCCACGCGATCCCTTAATCGCAACTTGTGAGATCTGCGCGCGATTCTTTTCGGTCCATTGATATACGTTTCTCTCTCTCTCTCTCTCTCTCTCTCTCTCTCTCTCTTCTCTCTCTCTCTTTCTCTTCCTTGTTCTCTGTCTCTTTACATTTTGGTACGGGAAACTTGGCTCAGAAGGATATTTCAGAGGCATCCTGTAGGGGAAGTCCCTTCCTTCTAGGAGGGCGGAAGAATTCGATCTGCCCGGCGGCTCCCCGTACCTTCCGTGTTTCCCGGGAGCCGACGGGGGCCGAATCAAAGTCCAATTTATATTTATGAATACTTTCGAGAGCCCGCTCGCGGCTCGCCCGCCCGGAAGCCGTAGGTTTATACTCTAACATCCGGCGCACACATCGCGCATTGTCAGCCGGCTCCTCCCCGGCGCGGCGCGGCGCGGAGGAGTCGCGCCGCGCGTATGACGAAAACGGTGAGATCGCTGGCATTTACTCTCTCGTGAATCACCGTGACTTTACTCCGCCGGCGTGGCAATCACGAACGGAAGAAGAGGAGGTGAGACCGAGCCGTCTCCGAGGGACGAGAAGAGGGCTGCGTGAAAGCAAGGGATGCAAGCTCCGCGCGAATCAACTGGTAAAGTTGCTGCAAACTTTACGCGCATCTTTCTACCAGGAAATAAGCGCGAGGGGCGTAACTGCTGAGTTCCAATAATAATAACAATAAAAGTACTGACAGAATCGCCGGTAAAATGATCTCTTCCGTTATCGCGGTGTCAATTTTCTTGCTCGAAGTATTTTCTCTCTCTTCAGCAATAGTCAACGTTCTTTCTTTCTGATATACGAGGATAAACCTCTGCATTGCGCGTTCATACACCCAAAGAAAAGTAGTCTATTTGTAAAGTGATTTTCCCACAGTCTCATATTCTAAGCGAAGCCTTTTACAGAAAAAAGATTCCTATTTCGATAAAACGATTGAAGCGAATCATTCATCTAAATTTGATTAGATATTATTCTATTTTCCTCTTATTTCAAAAAGACTTCCTCTTATATCAATTAATTTTCCTCTTATATGAAGAGGAATATGTTGATTTGAATGTCAGCTTCTCTTGTTCAGTCATGCTCTACCTTCATGAACAAAAAAATAACCATGTGCTCATGAGTCAGAATATTTGGAACGCTTTAAAAAAAAAACGGTATGCGTGTTGCTGTAACATATAATGAAGATAATTTAGTCATATTTGGTCAAGTACAGTTTATAATCTATTGCAAGAAGTTGAGTAATATATTCTTTCTTTTAACTATGTTTCATACAATTGGTTATGATGAATATTTTTGTAGCTATGAAGTCCATAACGAAACCGATTGGAAATTTATTTGTTATGATGATCTTATTTCACTCATGCCTACTTATAGAATTAGAAGCAGAGAAGTATATATATATATATATATATATATATATATATATATATATATATATATATATATATTACTTTTCGCTATAAATTATAATAATTTTTTCAAATTAACCAGTATAATCAGTAAGAATAAATAATAATCCTTTTAAAAAAAGATTAAATCATCTGTGTATAGGAGGCAATTTAATAACATATAATTCCTCTAACTTTAAGAATAATATGTTTATAATATTTTTCTCTTAATCTTAAGGGAATCCTCTTGAGGCGATATATAAGAATAAAATCTTATAAAATTTGGATAATTCCGCTTGTTCTGAGATTACTTTTTTTTTATTATGCATAGCTTCATCATTTGAATTTCAAAATTCATCGTCGACAAAAATCGCAACGCAGCGCTACGCGAAACGGACGAATAATCCGCCCAACGCGAATGCGAAGGCCAGTGTGAAGTTGGCACCTCATTTTTTAGCACCGCAAGTTTTAACGATAGTTCTATTGGCACCCACAATAGTTCTACAGTTCCTAATAGGTTATACACGGAAAAAAAATGATGTTGTATCAACAGCATCAGTGTAATTGAAATAAATTTGGTTGACGCGATAACAATATTAATGAACGAAAAACATCTAATACTTGTTTTAATAATTCAATATTTGATCTAATATTACTGTATTTGAAAAATTTTGTTGTATCAATCACCTATTTACTCATTCTATACACATCTTTCTTTATTATAATTACATTTAAATTAAATAACTTGCTAGATATATAATTCAATATAATGTAATCCATGTAACTATATCTGCTGTCGGCTCAACTTGTGAAATAATTAAAGTAAATTAACGGTAGAGTTGACGTTAATGTGCTTAATAGATTTACATTATTTTGTTGTTTGAAATACAATTAATTTTATCTATATATTTTATATATATTAGTACAAATGAATTATTTGTTAGATGTTACACTTAAATATTATTGATTCATACATAGTTCTTTTTAGAGAAAATAGAAATGTTTGTACATTGATTATACATCAGCTTGATGCAATCAACACATATAATCATTGATATTTTTGTGTTTTAATTGTATCAAGCGGACATATAATCAATATGAAACTATTTTTGTTTCTTTTAAACAAAAAATGCGTACGATTCAATAATATTTAACTATAACACCTAACACACACAATACTGTTAATTTAACTACATAAAATACTTAAAGCAAATCAACGACACAATTAATATCATTATGATCAATACATATGCATTCTCTTGTTGATTAAAACACAATTTATATCATTCACATATATTTTGTATGTTGGTACAAATGAATTATTAGTCAGATGTTACACTGAAATATTATTGATTTATGAGTATTTGGATATTGTTTGATCGGGACATCCCGTATTATACGATCGCGGGTCGATGACGAATCACGATTCGTCCAAGCTCCTCGATTAGTTAACGCATCACCCAATCGCATGATCGCGTGATCGCGAGTTTCGCGAACATTCTTACGAAAGGGACCTGAGCTCACTGAACGACCATTGCGGTATCGGTCATTCCTGTCCGCGCGTGTTAGTGCGTGCCAACTTCTTTTTCATCATCCGTGCGATCGGCGGGCATAGTTCACGCGCGAGTTAATGCGTGTCTGTTCTCTTGCCATCGTTTCCATGCGAGCGGCGGACATTGTGTAATTGTGTCGTTGTGCGCTCTGCTTTCTTGCCGTCGCTATTCTTGCGACCGGCATATATTGAACATTTGTGTTTGTGCCTGCGCCTTCTGGTCGACATTGTACGTGCATTGTACCATATATGCCTCTCATCGTCTTCTGCGCGACCGGCGGACATTGTACGTACAGTCTATGTGCACTCTTATGTCGCCATCCGTGCGACCAGTAGACACATACATTTCTTTATCCTCTAAACAAATAATTTTGGGCATTCGAATGTCCCTCAAAAACGGTGAGCTGAGAGCACTGCAATCGGCGTTATCGTCAGAAGCACGAGTCTCTGCTGAGCTCTTCTTTTGTTATTTCAGTGACCAGTCTTAACACGTTTTATAACAGTCGCCTTTGCTCGGCCCTTTTACAGTGCTTATGGTCTATCAAGTGTCACAAATTTGTTTTTAGTGTTTGAGTCAAAGTAAAAATACCGTCATATTGTCGTATTATAAAAAGATTATATATGTAAGAACATTATAATGGCTGATAAAGAGACAGTCAATCTCCTGAAAGATTGGGGCTTCGAAGATAGCCTTATTCAACATTTCAAAGGTAAATATTATTATTATCAAAATGTTATTTTTAACTATTATTAGGTGAGCATATTTTAAAAATAATTAATTAAAATTAAAAATGATTTCATTTAAAATTAACTGAGTTAAGTCAAAAGTTATTAACTTTTTCACTTTATTATTTAACTTATAACTTTTTAACTGTATACTACTCAACCCTGATTATGCAGAGTGTTAAAAAAAGATTACTCAAAACTTATTGGTAGATATTTGATCATGCACGGTGAATAAATGAATAATTTATTATATTATTATTTAGTTATTAATTTGATATTTGTAAAAAGTGTTTTATGTTCTACATTCATTTCTATGCACATGCCAAATTTCTTTGTACTACAGAATTGCAAACTTTCAAAAATTATTGGTTTTCGAATTACTTCAACTGCATCTTGGATTCTCTGATGTAATTCTTATACATTATTTATGTATTGATTGTTAGTATTATAAATATTATTAACCTAATAAGCCTTTTTCCTTGAAGCTTTTTTTCCATCACCCTATGTATTATATGAATTATTTT